TTATTACTACCTTATTAACCGCCGAACTAATAAAATTACTATATTAAAAGATATATATAAGATACGGCTACCTAAACGGGATAGTTATCGATAGGGGAAGCTTATTTACGAGCGACTTTTAGTCTAGCTTATATTATTATTCGAAGATAAAAAGGAAGCTCTCGATAGCGTATTACCCGTAGATAAACGAATAAACGGAAAGGGTAAATTAAATATTAGAATATTACCTCCGATATTTCGTTAGCGATACGTAGGCGAATTAATCGAATATACTAAGCGAAGTATAATTTACTTATAATAACGTAAGGAACGTAATAATAGGATTATTATTATTTATATCCCTAATAGGATACTACTTAGTAATAGATTCTAACGTTAGGAACGACGTTTTTAAAAGGGGGGTACCGGTAGTAAAAAAAAAGATAGAAATCCTAGAAAATATACGCGAAAAGGCACGACTATATTAATAAAAGGTTATCGAATCGTAAGCGAAATATTATAATAAACGCTATAAATCCCTTAAGCTAAAGAAAGGAAGCCTAGTAAGACTTTTTACGAAAAACCTAAAGCTTAAAGGCATAAGCCTAAAGTTAATATCTAGATTTATTAAACCCTTCCGGATTTTCGATACTATCGGATCGGCGGCGTACCGCTTAGCCTTACCCAAAAAATATTAATCGCTATATAATATTTTCCTTATCTCCCTACTAAAACCTTAGAAGATAGGGAAGTAAGAATAAGAGCTTTAATTCCTAACTATACCGGAGCTAGAAGAAAACGACGACGAATAAAAGGTAGAAGAAGTCCGGGGAAAGCGATAAAAGGAAAAGGATACCTTTTACTTAGTAAAATAAACGGATTAGCCGTTAGAATATAACTAATAGGTTCGGAAGAAAGATACGGATAACGTAGCGGTTAAAATTAAGTAGTTCGAAGTAAAGAATTAGAAAAGGCGGAAAAAGAAGTCGCCTTAAAACTAAGGGTTTTAAAATTTCCCTAAAGGAAATACCTAAGAATTATTCTATAAAAATACCCGAAAACGGAATAAAAGAATAGCGATAAAACGCTAGAGCCTTATTAAAGTATTATTAAAACGATATTAAGGCGTCGCCGTAACGACGAAAAAATTAAAAAAAAGGGCTGCGCTTAGCTTTACGTTATTAATACGTCGTTTAATTATCGGCGGGGAGGTCGGAAAATTCGTCTTAGTCGCCGAAATATTTTATATTAATTAGGTATCCTTTTATAATTTCGTTTAACTCGCGTATAAACGCGTCTTTCGCGTTAATTTAAGCGGAGAAGCCCGCGTCGCCGCTTATTAAGCGGTAGGTAACTTAAAGCTATTACCGGGTAAAAGCGGCGTCGTCCTAGAGATAACGGTTAAACGACGCGGCATATACGAAACGGAGGTTACTTACGGCTTCGGGGCCTAGGTACGGGTAACGGGTAGCGAAGAGGTTACGGCGGTTTATTACTTATAACTCGTATTCCTAAATCCTCTATATATAGGAATTAATACGCGCGATATATACGATAAACGCTAACGCGTCGATAATACGTCGCTATTATAAGGATAACGTATCGCGTAATTACGCTTAATATTATTCTTATAAAAACTAACCTTATAACTTTTCTTTATTTATTCGAAAGCGTAGAGGAGGCGGTAAATAAAGGCGGCTAAGGCGTTTCGTAAGTCGGAGGAATATACGAACTCGCTAAATTCGTTATCCTCGTTAACCTTTATCGCATAATAGCGATTAATAAAGTTAATTACGGTAAATAAGCCGCGCGTATCGCCGGTAATACCGTTAATTAACTATACCGATACGTTAGCGAAACGCGTCCGGAACGCGCGCTATAATAATAACTTACCGGGGTATATTTCTTACGGCGGTAAGTATAAAGGCCGTATTTCGAAAAAGCGGCGTTAGGAAATATATATAAAAAGCGGAACGGTATTTCGAAATACTTTAAGCGATACCGGAAATAAATTATATACGGTAGGTCGGTATTTTCTACTAGCGTAGCGTACTCGGTAAACGGATTATAAGCTATATTAACGACGGCGCTTCGACTATACTACGCCGGGCTTAGCTTAAGAAGGAAAAGGGAGATTAAGGAACGGCGTATCGTAAGCGTATTAATAATAAGATAAGGAAATGGAAATAGTAATACGAGGATAGCTCGACGGCTCTTATTTAGTTATTTAATTAAAAGAGAGTAAGATAAGCGAACGTAACGAAAAAGAGAAAAGCCGACGGATAAAAGGAAGGGAAAGAGTTAAGAGGAGGAAATATAATGGTAGAAAAATTTTATATACGCCTAAAAGATAGCGGTTAGCGGTATTAATCGGTAAAATTAACCGGCTATATTAATAAAGCCCGATTTAATATTTAATACCTTAAGGTAATTAATAGGATTAGTAGTATAGCGCGGGCGATATTATATCGATTCGTAATCGGAACGATTACTTAACTTAGGGAGGAATAATTATAAGGAAGCGATAAAAAGGCGCGCGATAAGTACTAAGGTATAAGGTACTATAGTACTTATACCGGTACGAAGGTACCTTCTAAGCGGTAACCATTTTAGCTTACCCCGTTCCTCGCTATATAAGTAACTACCTATCGCTAGGTACTCGCCCTTTTATCCTTTCAGGAGGCAAGTACTTATTTACGTTACTACGGGAATATACTTATTACCTAGCTTAAGGATCTCATTATAGGGATACTTTATTTAACGTAAAACGCAGACTACTTCGCGGGTTAAATAGCGGCGCCGACGGCGATCGGTATCCTCTAAATCTTAATAGCGTAATAAAAACTCCGTAAACTAAAGGTTAAGGTATCGAAAAGTTATAAGGTAGTCGCTACTAAGGAGAAGTAAAGCGTACGCGATATTAGAAACCCGGATAGGTTTATTTAAAAGTATACTCTATCGAAGACTATAGCTCGTACGATTATCTAAAAAAGATAAAGTTAGTACCGCTATATTAATCGAGAGATAAGGAATCTAATGTAATTATCATATCTTAGTTATGCCCCTTAGTCGTAGAGATATAGTAGTCGCTAGCCCGAAGGTATAAAAGGTAAGAAGGGAAAAGAAGTAAAACGTAAAAGTTACTTATTCGGCTATAGCGGTACGACGAAGTAACTTAAGCGCCTATAACTAAAATAAATATACTAATTAGAAAACGACGAATCTATTAATAAAAACGAATCTTTAATTAAGGTAAAAATAATAAAGATAGTAATCTAACTAGGTAATAAATTCGATAATAAGTATAGTATAGCCCGTACTTACGGGAGCTATGGTTACTCTATATAGGCACAAGGCCTATCGTAGCGTATCACGTAATATATCAAGAGGGCATGTCTTACCGCACCACTACACTAGTAATTATTATATTTTCATAATTATAAACTAAACTTAAAATACGATAATTATATTAAATTCTTTACCTTCTCAATAGTAAATTAATATTTATTTTATTTATTTTAAATTTTTATATATATTATAATTACTGATAGATTATACTTTAGTATTTACTATATATGATTATATTATTACATATACTATACTCCTTTCTAATACATTTGTCAAAGAGTATTAATATAATTATAAATTATAATACTTTCTAGTTTTGCTATTTTTCAAGTATTTTCAAGCATACTATTTAATTAATTAAAGCTATTTATAGGTATAATATCGTTTAATCAATATTAAGCTAGCTGTAGTAGTTATAATTTAATTTATTTACATTTTTAATAGCGTACTTATACTGTCTCCTTTTAGTATACTTTAAATTAATATTATTTATTTAATTAATAATTTAAGAAACAAATATTTCGATTGAAAACTTAGAATTTAATATTTAAACGAATTTTATTATTATAACCGGTTTTCGCGTAATAGTACCTAGGTATCATAACTTTTTAAGATTCTGTTCCAGGATTTTGCCGTTTCTCGACGTACCATTACCACTCTAAGCGCCACCATTGTTGGTGTACCTAACCACACTTTTATATCTATACCACCACTGCGGCCGCCACTAAACCCGCCTCCTACTTGACCTGATTCCAGGCTCGTCTTTCCTCCCTCTTTCGCATCCTTTAGAGAACACCACCTCGCAGCACAACGTCGTCCCCCTCCTCCCTCATCCAGCAGGGCTAAGCGTGACTGCACATCATCTTCGCAGAAGAGAAGAAAGACAAAAATATCAGCAGGGGAGAGACAGAAAGACAGGAACGAAGAGGATCACCTGATTACCTATTTCCATCTTTGCCGGCCGCCTTCTCACGGTTGTCTCCTCGCCTTTCCTATCCATCCTTGCCGGCATAACCCTTCTCGGATTATTCAGCGGTCTGTCCGAATCAGCAGCATATCTATCTGGCCCGGGACGAATCTGCATTGTCATCACGCAGACGCACCGGCACGAACATTGACGCTGGTGCCTGAGGCGGCTGACAGCCTGAGCCAGATCCCGGCATATACGGTCCTGCCACTGCGCATCATCGGCTTGAATAGTTTGCGACCGAGTCCAGCAGATTAGGGAGGGCTCCTATGTGAGCATTCTCTGTTCTCCTGTTCGTGCAACCCAACCTCTGCATCTAAGCCAATCCAACCCCCCTGCTGCCGTCCTCGTCCCTGTCCTGGTCCTCCTCTTCATCTTCACCCCATCCTCTCTATAGGATCGCCCCTCTCTCCCCTACCTGCTCATATATCTGTCTACCTGCCTGTCTAACCAACCTCACCTGCCTCGTGTGATCTTCCATACATCACCTCTCTCTAATTTGCCATACTTGCGTACCTACTTGGCTATTCCCTATCCTTTTAGTCCTAACCGCTTACCCTTTGCTGACGGCGCCCTCACTCTAGTCCTGCCTGCATCCGTCTAACTAGCGTCATTCGGCACATCGCACGAACCGCGATCTTGTCGTCTCCGGCGTGGAAGCCGCAAATAGTCGGCCTTGCCTCGACCTACCCTTCCGGACCCAGCTCCCGGCCTCCTCCCACTTGTACGATACACCTGGGCTACCTCGGATCACAACAATGATTGGCCGTATTTCGTACTCCCCGAGGGCTGCTTTTATTCATTTTCGTTCCTGATTTTCGGCTGTTCCGACGTCATTCCACCGATACCACCCGGTACCTGGATTCTCCAGCGTGCTTTTGTTCGGCCGGGGTTCTTGATATTTGCGAGGATACCGTGTTTCTTGCTGATATTTACGTCAACGAGCGACGTGTCTGCCGTATTTTAACGAATTTCATACACCGGGTCGAAGAAATCATGGCGACTGCGCCCGCGACCGCTGGTCCTAAAAAGTTGTCATTCGCCAAGGTATGTCCTCTGAGACACATAGAAATGGAGACCTCCAACCAGATTCCTCACTTCTTGTTCCTCTCATCTCTATCCAGTGTACCCCTCTGCTCTCCTCGATCCAAATCCCGCCCACGCCGTCGCGTGGGTTGGACACTAACCCGTCCCCTTAGGTAGTTGCGTCTCACAACGCTTCTGCAGTAACAGCTTCACGAGTGGCCGTGCCTACGATAGAGCACCGCGCACAGTCTCTAAACGCCGCATCTAACCTCAGCATGGTGAGCAAGGCGGCAGCGCTAGCTTCTCCGACTCTCTCGACGGTTGTCTCCAAGCCTCCACCGGTTTCTTCGGAAAACGGGGTCCCGGCCACTCCGCCCACCAGCCACGACGGTGCTAAAAACGCTAAGGTTGCGTCGGGTGGGAAGGATTTCCCTACCACTGCATCTTCCGGCGCCAGCGCTTCATCCACGCCTAGCCTCGTTGTAAACGGCTCTTCGTCCTCCGCAGGGGATTCACAGAGCAAGCATGAAAACGGGACATCGGTATCTGATGATGCTTCGCAACGAGCAGATTCTAGCTCCGATATGGGTACCAAACCCCCCAGCTTAGACGGGAAAAGCATCACTTCGGGCACCACGTTTGCCCTTGATGAGAAGGAATCGTTGCGTCCTGATGACAGTGCCAGCGTGAAGGCCGCTGCCGATGACGACGAGGCTTTCTCCGTACGAGGTTCTCTACTTGCCAATTCTCGAATTGGCTCTGAAGTAGCTCGCATACATCGACTCCGGATCGGCGACATGCCCGAGCGGCGAATTGTTCAGATACTTCCCGAAGTACAAGGTCAGGGTGTGATCACCCCGCAGAGCGGTGTTTCTAGCCATCAACCTCCAGCGGAGCAAACCCCGGTCATACCTGTAACCAACGGCGCTTCTGATGCGTACAACTCGATATATGGCCAGAACCCGGATGAGAAGCTTCTTGAAGCCATGCAATCTCCGAAAGACCGAATCTTCCTTCTTCGGCTAGAACAAGACCTCATCAACTTTGTAGAATGCTCTAAGTAAGTGCTACAAACCTGCTCGCCGTTGGCGTTAGGGGATCCGCTGAGACTAACTCGAGCCTAGGGACCCTTATATGGATCTCCCACCCAACAACTCGTTTTGCAGAATGTTAACCCATAAGCTGGCTGACTACTATCACATGACGCATTCCTTCGAGGCGGTGCAGGGTTCTGTTCGCATCTATCGAACGCCGTTCTGCCGGGTGCCTCCTTCCTTGGCGAGTATCGCGGGAAACAATACCAGCAGTAGCTCGAATGCGACACTGCCGCAGGTGCTGCCGAAGAAGATTATGCGACGAGGCGAGGATGGTGGATCCGGACAAGCTAGTACCGCCCCGTCTAAAGCTACCTCGGAAGTTGGAAGCGAAGGCAGGGAAAAAGCCGGACTATCGAAAGAAAAGTAGGCGCTCCAGATTTCGGCCGCCCATAAACGTGCTAACCGCGCTTCAGACTGACGAGGGAGGAACGCGCGGAAGCCTATTTCAAGGCCCGTGAGAGGATCTTTGGGAGTGCGGATAAACAGGGGGAGTCAACCTTGGCGGGTTTGTTCCCCAATACCAGCCTCAGTACGCATACCGGACGCGCTGACCACCAGTCAGATAATGATGATGGGAATGGGGTTTCCCGAGCGAGCTCCGTGTCCGCTAAGGACAAATCGAATCTGAGCAAGCGAGGAAAGACCAGCAAACAACGCAGAGATGACTCGGAGAGCTTCGACTCACGCTCTCAGTACACAGCATACTATCACCCGCACCAGCCTAACTGGACAGCGCCTCAGTATATCCCTATCGGCCATCCGCAGTACACTGGCCCAACTCAACAGCCTTACCAGGGCCCGATACCCCAGCCGTATGCGGCTCCTCAGGGGTACCCTGCCATGGTACCGAACAATGCGTTCCCCCCGTACGTGAACGTACCCATCGTGAGTACCTTCGTCACCACGGATTTCGATGCGAGCGACTGATATCTCTCCAGTATCCACCGCAGACCCAGCCCACCCCTCCGCGGTACCCGTCATCCAACGGATCCGTGGCCGCATACGGCGGTCCCGTTCAAACGACTCCGCCCCAAACCTGGCCGCCCAGTTTTAATCCGGCACCCTCCTCCAGCTCGTATCAGGGTCGCGGACCTCAGCCTCCAACCCCGGTAAACCCAGGACCTCTCGGTATTCCTTATGCGTTTGGACAACTTCCTGCTAACGCCAATCCACACGATCCGAAGAGCCAGCACCCTATCCCTGGTAGCTACAACCGGCATGCGTTCAACCCTAAGACTCAGTCGTTCGTGCCTGCTACTGGCATGATGCAAGTTCAGCCTGCAATTGGCCCCTACGGCGTCGGCGGTCATGGCAGTCCTCAGGTCGGCTCCCCCCATCTAGCCTACAGTGGATTCAGCTCCCCTACTCCGCCTCAACCGTACATAGGCGCGTCGGGTTACGGAATGAGTCGTCAGGGTTCCAACAATTCCTTACCGGCTTATCATGCATCTCAACATATGCCCCAACACCCTTCTGCGCTCTTGCCACAGGCGCCCTCTCAGATGCCTAACAAACCGGGTCTTGCTCCACCGACCGGACCTAGCCAGACCTTCGGTCACCTACCTAACTACGGCAACCCAGCCACCCTACCTCAGAAACCCCCTTCCGGAATCTAGACCAGAATTCACGCATTGCGATACATACATGAAAGGTGTAAGCAAGCATTGGTGGTGGTGTATTTCCGGCGAGGACTCGACACTGCGAGGGATGGATAAAGGGAACCCACAGAAACAATAACAGCGGCGTAATCGGGCGGATAGTTGTAATGGTACCATCGGCTGGCGTTTTGGGCGAAAAGGTTTAGGGGGTGGCGCTTATCACTCGAGATTTGTGTTACATGTGGATGGGAATGAAGGGACCTTCAGAATGCCTTATTAGGCAACGAAAGGCAACGACGACCATAACGACTACGAAGACGAAAAGACAAAAGATAAAAAGCGGAAGCAAACCCACGATGTGTCAATATCATCGCATGGAAAACAGATGGAGGGAGGAAGGTGCGCGAGCCAGACAGAGCGCTCGTGTGTTGCTGGTTAACTGCACGCCATGCGCGACGCGGGAGGAAGTCTTGCGAAAGGACAAGGGAAGGGGGGGTTGTATGTGGGCTCTATTTGCTTTATAACGCGCGAAGGGATGCGGACGGTGGGCGGTATTTACTTATAGGGCGGCGGGTAAAGGAAGAGCAATCCTGCTACAAAACAGCCAATTCCACTTCCACTTAACGTCACCGCTACCTCGTTGTCGCCAGCAACTCTGAACGTACAGGCATATTGCATACGTCGAGTTGGTATGGGTCGACGCGTGAGTTGAGGTCCACAGCGGCAACTCGTCTCGCCCCTACTAGCAGCGCAATCGTCAGAGAGGTTTCCCTTACACTCCGTCATCACCAGCCTATCCCTTGCCTTCATCCAGGCCGGGCAAGCATATAGGGTCCATCGCTTAACCCCCTGCCTCGGGAGAATAGTGCATGAAATATTGTGCTACATTTACATTAGCTATCCGTACCAACCATAAATGCATCTGTACCTATTGTATCTATGGAGATTCAACATGTTTAGCTAGGTATCTTCCCCCCTTCTCTCTCTGCTCCTAGCTTTTCTATCGACGGTATAATCACCATTATCGGTCCCTCGAAGAGACGAGACGTGTGTTTGGGTATACTTCTTTACATAAGATGTAACAATAGGAGAGTACGTATGTGATACGGCTTTATCATTGTTTTAATTCCGAATTTACTGTGGGCGTTGAGGTCTGTCAATAAAAAAAACCCCCCTCTTTATTTTATCGTATTGCGTTTCCCTATTTTCTTCCTTCGCCTCTCAATCAGGGCCCCTTTTTTCTCTTATGTTAGGAAGATTTCCGTACATATCCTACCCCGGGGCGATATGATACTGTGCATGCTGCACTCTGCCCTACCTTGTGCTACCATACCATGCCACGGTATAAGGCGCCATTCTATATCGTAGCACACGAAACGCACAGCAGCTCCGGTCCGCTGCCGCTATGAATTGCGCCGCGCTACGGGATCGGAGCAAGCGTGCTTTAGTCGGCGTTTTCGCGGGGCTCTCGTGGCTCCCTCGGCCCGCCGGCGCCCCCCCTGCCACCGCGACCGCCCCGCTTGCCGCCGCGCTGGCCCCGCTCGCCGCGGTCGTTCTTACCACCGGCCTCACCCTTACCGCCTTCGGCACCGTCGCGATCGGGTTTTTCGTCAGCGGCAAGGGTGGCGGTGGCGAGGCGCTGGCTGAGGTCGATTTGAGTGCGGATGCTGTTAGCGAGGTAGCTGACCATGAGCACGTCCTGAATGTGGTTGTTGAAATCTGACTCGATGCCGGCTGGATCAACCTTCGGAGCTAGGGAGAGGGCGCCCATGAGGTACTGGCCAAGGGCGTTGTTGGGCTCGCGCTCCTCGTCTATGACGGCGCCGACGTAGTCGGAAACGCGCTCGAGCAGGCCCAGGGTGTGCTCCAGGCTACGCGTTAAGGCCTCAACATCGGACGTGACAGGGGCAGCGCGCCCCCCGGCGTCGCGGGCAGAGGAAATAAGATCGAGGGCAGAGCGCTCGGCGTCGTTATAGGCTAGGCGGTGGGGCACCTGGATGAAAAGGCAGCTCTCGGAGGCGCGTTCCGCGTTGACGGCGACGGGGGCGGAGATGTAGGCTTTGAGGCGTACGTCGGCGCCGGGCTCGGCGGAGACAGTCAGGTGAACGGCCGGGTGGGGAAAGGTACCGGTTTCGGGGCTAGCGAAAAAGTTCTGGATGAGGGCACTGAAGCTATTGAGCTCGTGGGAGGTGGTGTACCAGCCAAGCAGCACCTCGCGGGGGTGGGCGCGCAGGTGTAGGGACAGCATATTCTTCTGATACTCGACGTCGACTTCGACCTGGTCCTCGTTCTCGGTGTGGGGGATGGCGAATGCGGACGAGACGCTGACGTCGGAGCCGTCCTCGGAGCGACTGCCGACGAGGGCGCCAATTACGCGCGACGAGTTTGAGGGGGCCGCGGGGGCAGCTGCGGAAGAAGAGGCGGCGGTGTTGGCATTTGCCGTTGCGGATGGTTGGTTGGGGCGGATATCGCGCCGGGTGGCATGGTCAAGGATCGTGAGGATGGCCTGGCGTGAGGGCGGGGTGCGTGCGATCCCGAAATTAGCCTCGCTCCTCTCTCTGTAGAAGGATAACACGAAATCACGGGGCCATATAAAGGGAGGCAGACCTGGGGTTGTATATTGACAGACAGCGGGGCAATGTTGCTCTGGAAGTTGAGGTGCGTCGGCGCCAGCGGCCGCGACAGATGCAGGAAGGACTCGGTGTCGACGGCCATGATTACGTTTTGCTCGCCTTGGAGTTGGCCTGGGAAAGAAACGAATCGCACCGTGGCCTGGCGTCGTTGCTGGCTAGGTCGGTCGGCCGTCTGAGCAGAGGATTCGATTTTTTGGTGATCTTCAAACTCCTCTACTCTTCATCGAATTGGGTCTCCGAGACTTGGAATTTTCACCCTGCCGGCGCAAGTGGGGTTACGCTGGTGGGTTGTGCGCGAGGCTGACAGATTTCCACGAGGGAGACGCGAGCAAGCGCGGGGCAGAACTTACCTAAGCTAATGTCCGACCGCGCGGCGGTGGCTTAGACGCCTGTGGCTTGCGCGGCTAGGTGGGTAGATAAGTACGTAGGTACCTAAGGTAGGTGGTACCTGTTCAAGAAATATTCTGCGAGGCTGTCGTCGCTCTATCTGGGAATTCTTCACATGCCGAATGCCTTTCTACCTAATACCTACCTCTATCCTGTCCCACACCAGTTCTAAAGTACTTAAAATAAAAGAACGTACTGGTGTATTTCTCGTCAACCAGCGTGGATCATGGCGAGAATGCGGGACCTTGCTCGCCGTGGAGCGCCGCCTAGAGGGAGGGCAGCCAAGATGCACGGAAAGAGACCTCACCGGGTCGCTCCCAAGTTCGAGAGTGCGAGGCTCACAGATGTCCGGTAAGTGCCTTGATCAGAGAGCCCACTGTATCACGTACAATTACTTACACCTTTGACCGACCCAGGCATGTCGAAAACGGGGTGTCGGATGAGCGAGAGGAGCCCCGGGCCGAGAGCGTGTCAGAAGGCGAGGTGTCGGGGTCAGGAGATGAGGAAGAGCTCCAACCCACGAATCGGCCTTACTTTGCTTTGATGCAGAGCTTGGAAAAGGAGGTGGCACCACGCGCCAAGAGGAGGAAACTCAATCACCAACCTGAAGAAGACATGTCGAGTACCAAGCCCGAGAAGGAGACCGCTGCGGCAGGAGAGGATGATGGCGACGGAGAAGAACGAGATATCGACCATGTATGGGAGGCCGAGCAGCACTCGGATAATGAGGCCATGACTGATGACGACGATGACAACGATGATGACAACGACGCTCCGGATTCGTCGGACCCCTTTGAGGCCCACTTTGTCAATCCTGATCAGGACGAGCTACAGAGACGGCTGGGGAGGATCGAAGTAGGCGAATACTCTCAGTCGAATTCCCTGCAGGCCGGCTGGAGGGCCATAACGAGTCTCCCCGGCAGCGATCCCGCCCTCTTCGCGCAACTTGCTCCTTCTATACCCGGGCCGCCAGGTTTGAAGCTGAAGCATAGACTCGCCGCAGCGGCCAATCGGAAATGTCCGACGTTCGACGAGTTGGAAAAAGTGCTCTATCCACCAACCTTTGCCTACCGCGATGTTCTGTTCTGCGGCAGGACTACCCAGAATGCAGAAAGTTTACGGCGCATGGCGTGTCTTCACATCGTCAATCACGTCTTTAAGTACGACCCTTCCCCGAACTCGTCATTTTCTGGGGCCGAATCGGGAATCGACTCTATTATTCCCGAAGCCGCACGCCGCTAACTGTACTATGCCGTAGGACCCGGAGCAAGGTGATCAAGAATAGCGCTAAGCTGGCAAAGGAAGGCGAAAACGGCGACTTCGAGCCGAGGGACCAGGGTTTCACGCGCCCCAAGGTTCTGATGGTCCTACCGACGCGCAACTCGGCCGCCAAGATGATCGAGATGATCTGTGACCTATGTGAGCCGGAGCAGCAGGAGAACCGCAAGCGTTTCGACGACTCGTACCTCGACAGTGAGGCTAAATTTTCAGCGGACCGGCCCGAGGACTTCCGCGAGCTCTTCGCGGGGAATGACGACGACATGTTCCGTATTGGCATCAAGTTCACCCGCAAAACCATCAAATACTTCGCCCAGTTCTACAATTCGGATATCCTCGTGGCTAGCCCGCTAGGCCTGCGCATGGCCATCGGGTCCGAGGAGGGGGGTAGGGAGGAACAGAGGCGAAGGCGCAAAGGCAGCGCCGCCGTCGACTTCGATTTCCTCAGCTCTATCGAGGTCGTCGTCTTCGACCAGGCCGACGCCCTGCTCATGCAAAACTGGGAGCACGTCGAATTCGTGCTCGACCATCTGAACCGCCAGCCGCGTGAGGCCCACAACTGCGACTTCAGCCGCGTTCGCGAGTGGTACCTCGACGGCCGCGCCGCCCACTTCCGCCAGACGCTCGTCTTCTCGGCCTTCCACACCCCCGAGCTTGCCGAACTACACCGTCGCCACGCGCAAAACTGGGAGGGCCGCGTGCGCGTCCAACCCGGGTCTTACGCTGGCGTCATCGACGATCTCGGTAGTGTCAAGGTGCGGCAGACCTTCTCGCGGTTCGCGGCCTCGTCAGCGGCGGCTGAGCCCGACGCCCGGTTCCAGTACTTCACAAGCGCGGCGCTACCGTCGCTACTTAAGAAGTACCACCATCGTGACGGCCACGACGGCGGTGGTGCGGGCACGCTCATCTTCGTGCCGTCGTACCTTGACTTCGTGCGGGTGCGCAACTACCTGGCGACGTCGGCGGCGACGGCGCACGTCGCGTTCGGCGCGCTATCGGAGTATGTCGGGGTCGGGGCGGCGTCGCGTGCACGGTCGCACTTTGCGAGCGGTAGGCACCAGCTGCTGCTATACTCGGGGCGGGCACACCACTTTCACCGGTACGCGGTCCTGCGGGGCGTGCGGCGCATCATCATGTATGGGCTGCCCGATGACCCGCGCTTCTACCGCGAGATCGTGGGCAATTACCTGGCGCGTAGCGAACGCGACCTGTTGCTCGAACCCGGCCGCGGTACCGTCCGCGTCCTATTCTCACGCTACGACATTCTCCGGCTTGAGCGAGTCGTCGGCACCGCCCGGGTTGGCAGGATGGTTCACGAGAAGGGGGATACGTTTGATTTCGTATAGAGTAGAAAGGGAAGGGCTGGTGCCCGGCTTTTATGGAGGGGAGGGGATTGTTTCTGATGCTGGTTTGATGGTGAAGAGGTGAAGAGAGAGGCGGAGAAGCAGATGAGCCTGAGACGGGGATCTCAAACAGGGATTGATTCCCCTTTGTAATTGTGGTATTGATACCCCTAGTTCGTACATGGCTGTAGTACATGTATACCCCTCGAGCGGTAGCATGCTGCAGATCAGTAGGTTACTTAATGAAGGATAGGTTCGATTCCTACCAGCGCTACTTGGTAGTCTTCGTTATTTAGCTCATCTGCTGCCCTGTCTAGACATAGGTACCGCACGATAGGAGAGCCTGCATAGAGAGGCACATATAGGAGCATAGTCTTTTTTTCTACATGCGCTCCACTTAGCATTTCGCCATAAGCACTCATGTCTCCGACCCGGGGAGTCTCGACTATCGCGTTCGTTTCCTTTATCGGTTGGTTCCGCGCCCGTCTCGTTCCTAATCGATCTGGTCCGCGTAGCTCCTAAGGCGCGGCGCCTCAGCCGGGCCTAGAGGCGCCTCCGCCGAGGCGCAGGGTAGCGACGCGGCGGACCATCTCCTCGAAGGCGGCGGCGCCGTCGGGGCGGTAGCGCGTGACCTTGGTGCGGTTGAGCAGGGTGAGGGGCCGCGAGGGCCGGCCGAGGCGGGTGTCGAGTGCGACAGCGCCGGCCGTCATGGCGAACCGCAGGTCCCGCGGCCCGTCGACGAGCTCGAGGATGGCCGAGTCGCCCTGGTCGTACACCGACTTCGGCGCCGTCCGCAGCACCCGCGTGTAGCCGCCCGGGCGCTCCGCGTACCGCTGCCGCAGCTCGCCGAAGAGCTTGGGAAGCACGAGGTCGGGGGTCTGCGCGGTTGGAGTTATTGGGGTTTTAACAAAGGCCCCGGATATTCGCCTTGGGGCCGACATCCAAGGGGTGAGGGGGGAGGGTGACCTACGAATACTTTGCCCATGGCTTTCTGCCTGCTAGTCTCGTTGTTGCGCTTAGCGAGGGTGATGAGCTTCTCGGCAGCGCGCTGGGCCTCCTTGGCCTTGGCATAGGACGTCCGGATGGTTTCTTTCTGGATGAGGGAGGTGACGAGGTTGCGCAGCAGGGCCCGGCGGTGAGCAGAGTTCCGGCTCAGGTGCCGGTATTTCACGACGCCGCCCGCCATCGTGCGGTAGGTTCGGTCGGTCGAGCTCGAGCCGTAGTCGCACGCGAGGGGGGGGAAGAAGGAGAACGGCGTCGAAACAATGAGAACCGACTCGGTAGTGGAATCGGGAGAGAGTTTGTCGGTATGGTTTGGGTAGCTTGGCTTGCCAAATTGTGTCGCGGTCCGATTCGGCCGCGCCGGACAGCGGTGGTGAAGATGAGGCAACGGGTTGAGGACCACTGTGAACCGCCAGAATTTTTGACGGCTTAACCCGGCGTAGTTGTCCAACCTCCGACAAAGGATAGCTTACATAACACGACCGGGTGCTTTAGACGAAGATACAGTATTAAGAGCAGTGAATGTTGATTAGTAACTGATAATGAAATCAACTAATGAATTTATTAATTTATAATTATAATTATATTTATTGAAAATTCTTAAAAGTATATAGGTTATTTTAATAGTTTATAAAATATATATTAAATATTTAATTTTAATTTAGTTAGTATTAAGTATAAGTGGAGATTCAAATTCCGTAATTATATAAATCTTCTCGAATAAGACTGCTACGTAGCATACTAATAGTTAGATATTAAGCCTAGCTTTGACAACTATAATGCTTACAACATGCTCTTTATTGCTAGCCTTACATAAGAACATAGAATCAACGACTGCTGCAACTAGCTGTTAGAAAAGATAGATACTCTACTGTTTCTATACAGTATCAGCAACTCGGCAACGCCACATACTATCGTCGAAGCAATGTACTAAAGTCCATACCTTCTACATTAAGCAAGGTAATCGCAGAGAGCTTAGGGAGGCCCTAGATTCCCGCGCTCAACTGAACAAAGTTTAGCTGGGCCATCTATTCTTATGTACCGTCGCAGCTTTATGCTCTGGCTTGGCGGTAGGCCCTTTGGCCGGTCTTTCAAGTCAAGGGCCGGATCCTCCTTAAGAGTGGCAGGGCGCAGTTCGAAGCCGGCAGGAGTCGCAGAAGTTCCGTATCTCGAGGCATCTATTGCCGCCTCAAGGTCGAACGAATCCAGAGCTGGAGCGGTAGACTGAGCCGGTGTGAACCCCCAAAACGGCACATCATTAGTGGTGATAACGCCTGCGCCAGTCGAAAACGACAACCAGGAGCCCGGGGCGGCCTGAGCCTGTCCTGGTGACAACAGCCATCCATTTGCGAGCATAGTCGAACGGAATCATGCGTACGATATCTGCCTGGGCCCTCTCTTGACCGACGACGTTCGTAGTAAGACGATCACGCGCGAACTCAAGGTGGTTTCTGTGCCTGACCAGATGAATCCGCCAGATGTATGTATTTAAATAGCGGTAGAGCTGAGGACGAAGCTTGCCTTGACAAGCTGGATGGTCTCGGAGGAGAGGACCGCGACCAGGCGGTTGGGGTCCAAGTATGGTTGGTCATCAACGTCCGCTCTCGTTGTTGCGTCATCAAACTTGGTAGATGCTCTCGGGATACCTCCCGTGACACTCATTTTGTTTTGTGTTAATGTCCCGGCCTTGTCGGCACAGACAGTCGTCGCGCGGCCTATAGTCTCGCAGGAACATAACAGGCGGACAAGGTTGTTGTCCTTAAGCATCCTCGTCATCACAAAGGCGAGCGCCGATGTGATGGTCAGTGACAGGCCTTCTGGGATATCAATGACGACGATAGTTACTGAGAGTATGAACAGTTCGAGGAATTCCTGTCCCTTAGCTGCGGGGTCACCTTCGATGTCCTTAAGGCGAGCTAGGTATCGGGCGAACATGATAGCGAAGGAGGTGACACCAGCGGTCCGTCTGGAGACTTGCCGCCAGGCCGTCAAGGCCCCCGAAGGCAAGGAGGAGGTCGGTCCTTGCTGCATCGGCCTCGCAAGGCCTGCCTATGAACTTAACAATTTCCGGTATTATGGGCGATGGTACCTCGTGTTAGAACGTGCTGGGAGCGACAGCAGACGCTATTTTTCTCAAAGGAGAGAGGCGGAGCTGTCACAAGTGTTGGCCTGTGGTTATGATAGCGGCCTCTAGTGGTGACGCCGTTGATATCTTCATCGTGGCCATGGTTGCAGTGAAGGCCGCTCCTTGCATGCTTGTCAGGTTCTTCAAGGGTGTGGCAGCAGCTTCACATCAATCACCAAGGAGGATTGTGTATGCAGGCACTTTTTTCCGTGAAGGGGAACGGAATATTGCACCATTCGATTTTCGACAGGGTATCGAGGCTTCTACTCAGTCATGCTTGGGCCTTATCTGCCTTTGGTGGGATTGCTCTTAGGGATACGACGGTGTTCTGCCTTCCCTCCTGCCTCTCGACGACAGCTCGATACGCACCGTTGCCCCAAAGATCCTTGATTGTCAGCTCTCTGGTCCGCCCCAGACTCTCTAACTCGTCGAGTCGGTCGATGGTAGCCTGGAGGTGCTCCTCGAAGCCGTCCTGACCGCAGACCTCCCGAAAGGCATTCTGCATGGCGACAGAATCGGCCTGCACCATCATGGAGTGGGGGTCGATGGTGACGATGTTGAGGTGGTCGTGGTGCTGGATGAAGTCCGCCCTCGTCACAATTTGCCTCGCCTCGTGGAGTGGGATCTGCGGAAGCCTGCCGTCACGCTTCTCGTCTTCTCCCATCGCCTCCTCCCTCTCCACTAGAGCCTTAGCAATGACCATAGCGGCAGCACAGAACTCCTGCTGGCCTTCGGCGTTGCTATCCATCTCCTTCCCCAGAATCCAGCATTGGCTTAGGAACCAGCGTTTTTCCTTCTCGCATATAGAATCACAGGCATCTATCATATTGGGCGATTTGGCGATCTGGCTAAGGAATCGAAGACGACCGCCGACTTTGTCGTAGACTTGCCCTAAGATATCCGTAGAGACGTCTTCCTGGAAGGCTGCGTATCGAAAACTCCTTAGCGCCGCGATGGCAGGACCTTTCGGAATATCGCGCACGGGGAGAACTCGTAAGCGGGTGGCTCGCATCATAAGGCGTTCCGTGATCCAATACTCGTCACTGTTAAGCACGACATTCACGAGACTGCTCGCCGCCCAGAGCTCTGCCCGCTGCTGGATCAGCTCCAGGAGGTGTCGGCCCCCCTCGTCGTCCTGCAGAAGATGTATACCGTTGATAATGAGAACCAGGGGCTTTCCCGCCTTTTCTTGACGCTTAAGCGCGATCTTCTCCATCTTGTTAAAAGCGCGTTCGATATCTAGCAGTGGCGTAGTATCCCGGGGCCCCTTGAAGCTAAACAGGCTGCCGATGTAGTCCTCGTGGAACTCGTAGTCAAGGGCCTTGCCGAGTCGGACGCGGAAGATCTCGAGGTCCGGGTGCGCTTCCAGCATAGCGATTCCGTCGCCGTCGATCTTCTTCATGGCCTTGAGTAGCATGGATGTCTTTCCAGTGCCCTTTTCTCCAGTGACTAGATGGTACTGGCCCTGGGTGCTTCCGTCGACGATGTCGTCGATGATGGCCTGCTCGGTTCTGGGGATCCAATCGTCGTCTTCGACGTTGCCGACGTCCGACCTCGAATGCGGATCGGCGAGGGCCGGTTGACGACCGAGAGCGGCCAGCTCAAGGCTTGAGTAACCTGGGGCGAAGGCATTCTCCATCTTGCGCAGGACCAGCGACTTGTAGTACCAGTGGTACGTGTACCCGGCCAACCCTAAAACGAAGACAGACCCGAGAGCGGTCGCGCCACCTTCCAGCAGCTTAGACGATGCGCTTCGCCAGCCGGCGCCTCCGCCGTTGTCATCGTTGCTAACACTACTGCGATTACGAGGTGAGCCAGACAGCCCCGCGCCAGCGCGTTGCACGAGCAGGATGCAATGTCGTCTCAGGACAGACCGAGTCTGTGATACACGTGTTAGTGCTGAGCAACGTGCGGCGTGGCAGGAGGGATCTCCGATGCCTACCATGCGGTATCTTGAAGTTCGGCCAAATCTGGCCATGATTGGTGTCCTAAGGTGAGAGGCCGAAGTCCTCGATCTAGGTATATATCAGGGCGAAACGCTGCCCATAGAGCAGGCCCAGGTCCACTGCTTCGGCAATATGAGTACACTATTCGAATGTGATTCGTTCTGTACCTGCGGCACTGCCATTCCCGGAACTTCTCCGGGCTGAGACCGCCAAGTGCCTACGGAGTTACTCTGGCGAGCGTGCTTGGTTATCATCCCAGCTCGGTGCAGAGCTTGGTGATTGGGTAGTTAAGGTGGCCTTGGAAGTTGGCATTAGACTCAACGCGCTGCCGGTTGATAGCATTCGCCAGTTCGCATCCATGCATTGTTCTCCTGCCTGATCTTTGAAAACGAAAACTTACACCAACTTCAATCTCTCTCTCTCTCTCTCTCTCTCTTTCTCTCTCTCGTCCCCAGACCGACAAAGTCTGGGAAGAAGCCGCTGGGGCCATTGACGTCTGCGAAAATTTGGGGGGAGGAACATTCCCCCACAACGTCGTCGCTCTGGGGAGAGAGTTGGGGGCCGCTGACGTTTCTCCTAGGCGCTGACAGAGTCGCGGGGGATTCTCCCGAGACGCTTCGGGCTGAATAGACACGTCGTGACTCCCAAAATAGACGGTGACCGAATATTGACGCTTCCAGGAATCCGGAGATCCCAGGCGAGGAAGGTTTCTGCGGTGCCGCCGCCAAATCGGAGAAACTTCAGAGATGCGCGAATGGAGCAGCGTGGGGTTGAATGCTTAGTGAGGGTGGACTACTAACCCGCTCTTGCGGAAGCTCTGTATCTGATGAGTTAACATATCTTCCTACTCTCCGTAGAAGAGGGCATTGTCGACATGCACACTTGTGCCCGTGCTTAAACGCTGACCTGGAGCGATTCCGTCAAACAGCTTGGTTTCAGAATAGAATCAACACCCACAGTGCACACATATGGTCTCACACTTTGCTATGGGTGGTAGCCTCTCAGAGGGTAATCAACCTTGACACCTCTATGAGTAGGCTCCGGTACGCTATCTAGTGTAGGATGGCCTCACGTTTGTTGGCATAAAAACTTGCAGCAAGTTCATTTTTCAATGCCAAATCGCGAGATTCTAGACGCCGTAAAAAGCCACTCGACTAGGTTGATATCAATAGCTCCTTCTATTCTCTCAAGGACGCTTTGTTTTTGGTCAACTCTAAGATGCCTTCTCTGTGGATATGTGACTGGGTGAGTTGCCAATCCCCAGCCGTTCAACGGGCCGGGAATTGCTTGCTCTGCGACAGGCATCTTTGCCGAACTCACTTGCGGGACGAGTGGCACACGTGCCCGAAGCCAGAGGTAAATGCTTCACCTTAAGTACTCTGCTTCGTGAAATCGCCATTGGTCATCGCGATTAGACGAACTGGGACGAGTACAGCGCTCGGTATGTTGCAGCAGAGTCCTGGCGGCTAGACGAGCTGTGCCGGCGGATCGACGGCCAGAAGCTGTGCACGCGCGCGTCACAGGTACGCGGTGGCACCAACGTGCCGTGCGCGATTGACCTCTCGCCGAAGAAGCTTTTGGTCATGATGGGCGGACAGAACTGCCATGCCGAGGTTGTGTTCGCGGACGGCGTGGTGTGGCTCGCGCGGTTCCGGCTGTCCAGCCCCATATCGCCGCCGCCAGAGGTGCGTGACTACGTGTTGCGGAGCGAGGCTGCGACCATGGAGTTTCTGCAGCGCCATACGCGTATCCCCTCCCCGCGCGTGTTCGACTGGGCCTGCGAGTGCGATCCGGCGAATATGGTAGGCGTTGGTTATATACTGATGGAGAAGCTGCATGGCGCGCCGCTGGGCTGGCAGGGCGCAACGACTGCACAGAGGGAGAAGGTCGTGCAGCAGCTCGCAGATATCATGCTCGAAATCGAAAGGCACCCTTTTGACAGGCTCGGATCGCTCGTGGCGACGACAGCAATGTCGGGAGGCGAGATTGCACTGGCGGCGGCGGCAGCCGAGCCCCAGATACAGGTGCAGGGTCTGGCACAGCATTCCACGTTCCGGTCGGGCGAGGACGGCAGACCGCCGGGGTCGTTCTGCTCATCGCGGGAGGCCTCGCGTGCTCTCGTGGAGGCACACCTCCGGATGATCGCTGGTGGTGAAATCGGGACGGCCGAGAACGCGGTGAGTGTGTTTCTGGCTCACCGATTCCGACTCGACGTTCTAGATAGAGTCTGGAAGTCGGCCACGGTAGCGGCGGAGGAGGACGAGAAATTCTTCCTAGAGCACGCGGATGACAAGGGTGACCATATCTTGGTAAACGCCGACTTTGACATCGTGGGCGTCATCGACTGGGAATGGTGCAGCACCGCGTCGAGGGAAGAGGCCTTCTCCTCGCCGTGCGTGATGTGGCCAGTCGCAGAGTTCTACGACGGCTCGAACGAGCTGGCGGACGAGGAGCTGCTCCTGGCCCGCGTGTTCTGCGAGAGGGGCCGCGAGGATCTCGCCCGCTGCGTGCTCGACGGACGGAAGGTCCAGAGGTTGTTGTTTGCACTCGGCCCAGGCGGCGCGTCGCACGAGGACAGGAGGACGTTTGCCCGTCTTTTCATGGGCCTCAAGCGGGCACTCGATCCGGGGCATGGTAGCAAAGGAGAAAAGCGAGGGAGAGAGGAAGAAGAGTGGGAGAGGTGGATGGCAAGAGCGCTTGTGAGGTGGGAACATGACGGTTTGTTGCAGGCCGTACTGGAGAGCAAATGACGAGCTGCCTAATGATGTTTCATCTGTCAAAAAGAGAGCAAGAACTAGAATACCTACCTACATCAAGACCCTCCCTGGCCTTTGCCTGGGATGTCCTGTAGTGGCATGACTATCTGGTTGCCGGCGCACATCCTGAGATCGGAAGCCCTGATAGCAACACACGCCTGCGGATAGCATTGCCAATACTCAGGTCCTGTAAGTGATGCTGGCACCGGCTGGTCTCGCTCCGCCTACAGGACTTCCGACGCAGACGATCATCGCGGCAGTGCCGAGGCAGACGGCGGCATTAGATAACGCGTTGGATCATGTGTCTCCTGGTCTTGGATTGGTGTAGTCTTGTCATCGGGGTCGGTCTATCGCCGTGGGCGGCAGTATCGGAGAGCGCACTAGGCCATCCGTCAAGTTAATTTCTATGTATTATGTATAAATATTTTTAAATATAGGTATATATTTACGTTTTTACCTGGGGAGTGTATATCACTATTACAACTGCTTTTAGTATTGCGTAAATTAAGTAAATAAATATAAATCTCAAGCTAGTGAGGCATAGGTATCTTTTAAATTAAGTTAATTGTGTACAGTTTAAGTTGGTAAGTTTTGTTCTCCTTTAGGGAGTGTGGCCCGTGTTTGGTCACGTGACACATCAGATCTCCTGCATGATTAAAATACTCAGGATTCTAGATGAAATTGAGAGGGTCAATTATGTGATTACCTAATTTCTAGACTCAAGTAGCTGGCGCTTTTGCGTTCACCTTCTCCTCCACCATCCTCCCATTGGCCTCCTGCACAAATCGCGCCGTTGCGCGGCGCACTCAGAAGAAGACTACACGACCCGCAAGGGATTCTGTCGCTCGTCATGGGCTTTACTACCGGCTTTGTGCGTCCCACCCATCTCCCCCTCCCCCTCCATACCGCCCCGACGTTTGCATGTCCGTTGCGCTCGCAGCTCACGTTGCTCATTCGCACCCTGCCTACGTAGACCGGAGGCGTCGCCATCACCCTCTCGGTGGCCTACCTCACCGTCTGGTCGCACCAGCAGAACCGCGTGCGCCAGGCCGCCGTCCTGCGCCAGCAGACCTACGCGCTGTCCGCCCTCGTCGACCCGCTGCCGCCCGCCCTCCCGCCGACGCGCGCCGAGCTCGCCGCCGCCGAACGCGCCCACTTCGTCGAGCGCGCCAAGGACCGCTGGAACGCTGAGCTCGAGGGCGCCGTCCGCTGGGCCCAGGAGAAGGACTGGGATGAGGTGCGCGAGGACGTCGAGGCCGCCGCCGCGAGACTCTGGGCGAGGGCCTTCGCCGACGCCGACGGCGGCGTCGCGGCGCCCGGGGACAAGCTGGCCGAGGGCAAGACCGTCGCGGCGGAGAAGGGGTCGGGCGTGGCCCCTGCCGCTAAGAGCAGCTACGCGGAGGCGAAAACGGGGCCTTCCGAAGCTGAGACCGCTAACGGCTCGGTTTGGGCCTCTATCGGGGCCGGGTTTGCGAGTGCTGCGGGCGCCGCCGGTAGGATAGTCGGCATAGCGGGAAAAGACGCCAAGCAGAAAGCGTAGCAGACGACCGAGGACTTAACCACCTCTTTCCATAGAAAAACAATACCCCTCGATCAACAGCGAGGGCTCGGCTGGGCCTAACAAGAGTACAGGTGAGGCGTTGGTTGTGGGATACGCCCCCGACGGAGAGGTAGACCGGTACCATGCACAATTGGCTAGCTAAACTCCCTTAGGGACCTGAAGTAAATAGGGCGAGAGACTATAAGTCAGATCTGCCCCAACCCCCCGGTCCCCGATGAGCTTACGACACCTGTCTCTGGCCACCGCGTAGGTGTATATAGGTGAACGTATAGACGATGTAGTAGCAGTGCTCTATATTCCAACACTCCCAATCCTGCGTCAAGTGGTCATGGATCACGAGCATATAAAAGCAACTTTTCTGGAACCCCTCACGATTAGATTCTTTGCAGGGACAGGTATATATGTGCTGTCCCCTCATCGGAGACGGTTAGGTGTGACTGGGTGTAATTCATTGTTTTGTTTTAGTCCGTCATCATCCTCTCTCCTCTGGGGTTACCCAGCCGGTGCGTTGACGCCAGTCGATATGATCCTCAGTTGCGGTGACCCCCTCGTCTTCCTCTGTGCCTGCTTTTTCGTGTTCCCTCCCTCTGCCCGGTAACGTTTGGCAACCTCTAGCCTCCGCGACCCGAACAAACGACCAATGAATAAAAACAAGGAACGGGTGGTATCGAACATGATTACCTCCAGCCGACGGGCCGGTCTAACCTAGTAACAAAGAGAGGCCGACGGAATCGACCGAGGAAAGGGAAAAAGAATGGCCCGATGATAATACACAAGAGATATTCGTGACCAAATCCGTCAGTATTTCCCGTTATAAAAGGCACAAATGCTATTAGCATACCGCCGTTCCTCCGAGAAAGTCTTGAGGCTCGTCGATATCTATACAACCCCTCTGGAAAACGACGACGATAAAAGGTTTGTACACGAAATATTAAAAATGTATCATGCTGGCTAGTATGCCGTGGACTTCTTGCGGCGTTCGAACATGCGAGAGAAGCCATTGCCATTCTTTGTCTCGGTAGGAGAAGGCAGCGATGCTATAGCCGACGGCGGCGGCTCCGAGTCACGGAGGAATGTAGCCAGGTCTGACGTGCGGCTATTGCTGGAAACAGCCTCTCGGGGTTCGAACCTCTTCATTGGGACGCGGCCGATGGGGCTAGCAGTATGGGTGGATTGCGGCGGTCTGCTCCCAGCCCCGAACTTCTCCGCGCCAGTCGGGATAACAATAGGAGTGTATCCCCGACCACCCCCCGCACGACTGCTCAGGGATCGCGTCTCGGTGGCGGTGAGTCCCTTGGAACTCGGACCCGAGACGGGTTTGCCGCTGGAGTTTCCGCTCGACCTTAGACGCGCTATCAAGTTGGGCGCGCTCGACTTCTTTTTCGGGATAGATACGGGTTGGGGAATGGGTTCGGGAGGAGGAGGGTAATTGTTGAGGAAATCGATCAGGCTTTCCTCCTGCTTCGGCTTCGGCTTCGGCGTCAGTTCCAAATCATCCTCCTCATCGCTGAATTCGATCGCGTAGGGGTCCCGGACCCGCCGTCGCGTCCGTTTCGGCATCATATCGTCGTCGTCGAAGTTGTTAGCGGGAGGTTGCTGCTGCGCCCTATTCGCCTGGCTCAAGAGGGCACTTTGCGAGTTTGTCGACGAAGGGGCTGACGTCTCGGTGATATTCGTGGACGCTTCGCTGTTTCGGATGTTAGGGATAATCGCATCGATCGCCCTTCCCCCGACGGCACCGGTCATTTGCATCTGGTCCGAGTCCATAGTAGTCCGGAAGGGGGCAACATGGCGAGGGATTCGCGGGTTGTTGTCGTTACCGTTAGGTGGGCCCCGTCGGATGAAGTCGATCAAATCAGAATTCTCGCCAGAGGGGTTTACGGAGGCATCCCTAGCTTGAAGCCGCGTCCGCATGCTTGTCTCCGTCCGTCTGCTATCAACGCTCGCGCTCTTCGCCACGTGAGTAGGGCCATTGGGGTTTCGGGCCGTCGTTTTCGCTCCCACATTTCTATGATAGTGGGGGCCGGCCTCGCCAGGAGGTCCTGTCGATCGAATGAAATCGGCAAAGTCCTGTAGCGATTCCCGGGGGATCCGAGCATCCCTCGCCTGTGGCGCAGAACCCGACCGGCCTTTTGGCAGGACACCGAGAGATGAATTCGAAACTGACCCGGGGAGCTTAACGCCGAGCGGCAAGTCCCCTGGCGGATGAGAGCCTAGGCTTGTTTGCTTCGTTATAGACACAGACCTCTTGATGGACTTGATGGAGGAAGATCGCGACCGCTCGACAAACTTGGCGTCTTCGTTCCTCAGGGATTTATGGGAAGGCCTGGGGCTTCCCGTGTGTTGGGATGACGCCGACTGTTTTTTCTTTGTTAGGCGCAACATACGACAAACGACAGAGATTTGGAGGGGGGACTTGCATCGATATCACGCATATTCTCGGGTGTGAGAGTATATTGTAGGGTTTCGTTACTGTGGATTAATTCCTCGAAGTTCCGAGCCATATCACTGGGTCGATGGGGACCACTATCCTCAGAGGTACGGACCGCCTTGAATTTAGCCGATGTCGAAGGCGGCGATTCTCCCGGAGCAGGCCGCGGCAGCTGAGGCGATTCAGGTGAGCTTCGCGCCGCGCCGGGGGGCTTATCTATTGAACTGCCATTCGAACCCGATGACCCATACACCGGCCGGCTAGTACTTCTCTCCGGCAGAGTCGGCAAGGGTGGACTCCTTGATGATTTATAAGGGACAACCGCCTTCCCTTCTCGGAGTCCTTCGAACTCATGACCGCCTAGGATTGAGACTTTGGTTGATACTGGTGGTTTGGATGCCGCTTGCGGGTGAACACTTTTCAGCGGGCTCGGGTTTCGGACTGGTTGGGTAATGGTAACGGCGGTACCTTGGGAATCGTCAAGTGATGCCGGGAGAACCATGGCATTTCTCTTGTTAGCACTCGGAGGTGGCTCGTCCGAGTCGTCCTCCTCCGCAATCGGAGGGGTTGCGTTTCTATGGGCAACGTAACCGGAGTCATGCGTATCCAGGGAGCTTATCCATGACGTGACAGTCGGGCTACGAGGGCTTTGAACCTCAATCACACGTACCGACCGGACGCTACTAGATCTCGCATGCACAACTGCGGGCGGTTTCCCAGATTCTGACGTGGAGGACGTGCTTCTACCCCCCATCGAGATCCGAGATGAGGTTAGGATTTCGGGTTCCTCGGTGAAGTCGTCAATCTCGTCCTCATCAGGCTCGGCTCGCACGTTGTCGCTAGCGGTTTCAGCCGGCCTAACGGCAGTGAAATCAGTCTGAATCCTTGGAACCAAGCTGTCGGCACTGGCTTTCGGTTGTGGAATACTGGCGAGGGGGGAGCTGTCTTCGGCCTCGTTCAAGGGATCCTCACCAGCGCTAGCACTGGTGTCTCGATCTTCGACCTCGGGCATGACGTCAGGTGCCACTTCTAGAGTCGATGTATCTAATATGGGCTCATTCTTTCCCGGTTTGGCCTCCGCTTCCGCAGTTCCGATTTCGCGGCGCGATGCTTGGGGAGATGGATAACGGGGACGCTTTCGGCCAGGAAGGGACCGCGCTCGCCGAATTGGGATAGACTTTATCAAGGCTGAGGACGCCGACTCGGGTGCTGTGTGTCGATTGAAAATAACTAGACTCTTGGGCCGTGGGCGGTGGTCTTCCTCGTCTTCAGTTTCCTCCTCGTCGCTATACGTTGCTTCGACGTCGCTGTCAGGAAGAGGCAGATCGGCGGGGTCCGTCGCCCGCAAGCTCAGTTTCTGGCTTGCTTCCTCGCCGAAATCTTTCGTTTCCTGCAGCTCGAGTTCGGGTTCCACGTCTCTAGGCGCCAGATGCAATTGACCGTTGTCTGTAGCGGCACTTCCGCGCCGCGTATTTGGTAACCCGGAGGCGCTCATAGAGCTACGTGAGAAGGGGCGGGAGTAATTAGGCTCTACGGGCGACCGGATCTTCTTTTTCCAGGAACGCCAAAGCCTGCCGAAAGTCCGATCTAAGGCAACGCGTTCCATGTCCAATTCCTCGACGACGACGCGGCCGAGGGGTTCCCCCGGTGAGCGGGAACCCTCCTTCACGTCCCTTTCATATTTAACCCGCATCCGGTTGAATGCCGCTTGTCCAGCCACAACCAGAACCTGCTCGCCCATGAATTCAAGGATCGACGTCAAGAATATGGCAACAGCCGGTGATACGATATCCGATAAGAGGTCGTCCGACTCGCCCCTGAGATGCTCTTGCTCCATGTAGTAGTCTTCGTCTTCCTCCTCCATATCTCCGAGCGAAGAATAGACCATGCATCGTAATCTGGTCCTCTTCCATACCAGTTCGAGATCCCAATCGCCGGGCGACTCCGTATTCGCGGAATGCGCCATGTCTTCGACTTCACCACCGCCCAGGTATTCTCGAAGTTCTTCGTCGGCCTGGTTCGTGGCATCTTTGGCCAGTTTCGGCTTCAGTACCTCGCTGACAGCTGGCCGTAGAGCCGAGAGCGCAGTGGACTTGGCGACGGCGATTATGCTGAATAGGAGCTGATCAACGAAATTATTGGCCAGTTGGAGCGCAGCAGGGGACACCAGGGCAGTCTCCTCGGCAGGCGCGATGCCCATTTGATCGTACCATGCCTCGGAATGGCTATCATGGTCATTTGTTACTATTTGCGACGCCGCAGACGCCGCGATGAAGATAGCCTCAGGCGACACAGAGAGGGGAGGAGACATCGTGCCGAGGCCAATCGTAGACGGGCGATCGCTCGAGATGCTCTGGGTTCTGGAGTGGGCATTTCGCGGCGTGTTCGCGACGCCGACGGAAGATGAACTCGACATGATGGAATCACGACTGGGAAAGGCCGCGACAGGTATATCTGTAGTAATGGCAGACACCTGGGGGGCCGCCCTGGTTAGGGTGAGACGACAGGGCGAAGCGAGGAACGGCGGACTAATCCACAGTCAAAGCGAAGGCTGCCCGAACCACCTATATCGACCGATTGAGGAGGGCGAAGCCGCAGGCGACGCGAATCGGTCAGGACCGTATGGGAAAAGAAATTATAAAGGCTCAAGAGCCCGCGAATTCTTGAAAGAATAAAAATTGGAGTTAGTAGGTGCAGCAAAACGATAGCCGAGATCAGGTAGATCACTGGTAAATTGAGCGAGTGGAAGCACGCAGATGAAACATTCCGCCGAGAGACTGGGGAAACCGGGCGGCGAGTCAAGACAGGGAGTGTTTGCAGTGTGCGAGGGTGAGCGTGGGTATGTACGTGTGGATTGTGTGCCACAAATGGTCTGGTCTGGTCTGGCTGGCTGGAGGCCATGAGCGCCCTCATGTGGTGTGCATCATGACGAACTATTCGGCGACGCAGGAGTGGAAGGGAAGAGCAGGACGTCAACGGGGAGGAGAGAGAGGAAGCAGGAAGGGAGCGCAAGTAGACAGCGGCGAGTCAACGTACGGGAAGAAATGTGACAGGATGTGATGTGATGATGATGATATGCGAACGAAGCTTTACAAGAGATGAGGATAGATAACTGCGACGACTTGCTTGGCCGTTAAAACACCGGATGGCCACTTTTTGCGCCTCCTATCAGTTTTCCCCTATTTGAGATGTAATATGGAAATAATCAAGCCCTGCAGAGAGAGAAACCAGCCCCGGTCGTCACGCCAGGGGTCCGCAAAGGGAAGTAAATTGGGTAGATCAACAATAGGGAGAGATACCAGGTACGCAGGTATGGATCAGGATGGGGAATATGCTCTCTCTCTCTCGCTCTCTGTCCCCCCTCTCTGCGGGTGTATGTGCGTGTGTGCGTGTGCGTGTCGTAAAACACCATCTAACCTCGCTAGCAGCCAGAGATGACCACACGACCTAGAGTCTAACGCGTACGTGCGAGAAGGTACGAGCATGTATAGGCGACGGGCAAAAGTTACCCTGCTTGAATTCCAAGAAAAGGGAGATACAATAGGTAACATAGGTAGGAAGAGAAGAGCAGCAGTCGTACTGTATATACTCGTATACAGGTGTATGCGCGCGTAGAGAATTCAAGCAACGTACCGTGTTAATCTAGAAGCACCACCAGCAAGTGCTAGGTCTCTCTCTCGCGCTCTCTATTCCTAAAAGCAAGCTGACGAAAGCTTTCGTCGTTCAGGTTTGCAGCTGTCTAAAGGGTATCGCTCGTCGCAAGGGGGACGATGGTGACGACGAAGAAGTCTCGGGAGTCTGGCGGAGGGAGGATAATTAGAGAGAGGAAGAGACAGGAGTCAGGAGGGGCCGGGGGGAAGGGAGGGAGGAAGGCATGGACAGGTTGATAGATAGAAAGATACTGGGAGGAGAGGGAGGAGGAGGAGGAGGAGGAGGAGGAGGAGGAGGAGGAGGAAGAGGTAGACGCAGGCGGGACTTACATGCCTATCTTAGGCAGATTACCCAGACTTGGTTTGAAGAGATGACTTGATTGACCGATCATCTTTTACTTATGGGATCCATGTAGCTGGAAGTGGTTCTACTTTTAGCCCATCAGCAGCAGCAGCAGCACCTAATGTAGGACGTACCCGAGTCGGTAAGTAAAGAAGGGTGCCCTACCACCTTAGACCATGTAGACAGAGAGACAGCGACAGCAAGCTGTTGTTTGGTGGCGTTTTTGGCATCGCCTTGCTGGCCATGTCTCGTTTTAGATACGGTACGGGCAGCCTGTACCTATGTACAAGAAGTACCCTAGGTAACTAACTGACGTACATATGTACCTAATGCGCCCACACAAGTCCATCAAAATCCCGGCTCGGGGGCCTGAAACGGCCAATTGGCCGAGACGTCAGGTCAGTAACTCCCCCTAAGGTACTCATCGTATATTAGTAGGTATATCGGTACGTGCCTAGCGTGTGTAGGTAAATATATGCCCACACACGCATACAATGGCATCAGGTATTAGATTAGGCGCCTCCTATACAAATCACTTCGCGTCGTTGTGTTCTCAGATCATTAGGGTATTGCCTTCAGGTAATTCGCCCGCCCGCCTCGGGTAGGCAATGCGCAAACGAAACGATTCCGTGTAATTACTTCTACATAGTACTTGAGGGGGTAGCAGGGTAGCTTAACCCCGGGGACATGCATACATATGTACATACGACGTAGAATCTACTATAGCCCACAGCCCCCTGCCTGCCTATGTGGGAATTTAGAAGGGAGAGAACGGAAGGGATGTGGCCCCTCTCTTGGACTGGGGTTCGTGGAATTCTGTAACGCCTCGTTAGATAGGTAGGTACCTTGCAGCCGGTTATTCTAACGGCCAGCCTTAGCATGCATGGTACATGAGGTGGCGTTCGGTCCGGGAGACCGCACCCTACCCAGCATGTGCCGCGGACGAAATATATATTCTATATATTTGACAAATATTGCATGTATGGCGGTGCGTACATGTCCCTTCATCAGCGGTTTGCATGCCCATACATACTACGTTGGGTGGTAAATACTGCACGCCGCTGGGAGATTTTCGGCTTAGATTCTTATCTGCATATATATATTTATATACCTAGGTAGGTACTTGATGTATTCGCGCTGACCTCCTTACCTCCTATGAGTATACGTGTACATGCAGACGTACATCTGTCCCCACCCAGGTTGCGGTACTAATATATAGAGGTATAACAATAAATATATATATCCTATCCCTACCGAACCACTCACAGCCAGTTGCCCTCGACGTCCCCTAATTCTTGCTTCCACATATACTTGATGAAGGGGGCCAGACCATCACTTTCCCGCCTTTCGGCCCTGACGATGCCTCGGAGAATTCCCGTCTGACATACATACATACATACATGTGTACTTGCCTCTTATGTCGGTGTCCTCCTATACCCGAGGCACGGTTACGCACCAGGCTTCGCGACATGATAGCGACAATAACCAAGATGGTAAGATGTAGGCAACCAACTAAGATAATATTCCGACCTGGTGTCGGCACCAAGGTCTCCATCCATACCGAAGTCTTCCTTGGGACCGACAAGATTAGGGGCACGTAAAAAAGAAGAAAAAAAGAGGCCAGTACGGACTACCACATGCGTACCATACATACTTACACGCGTAGGAGGAGGTAGTAAAGGGGGGGGGCCGGCTGGACTTGGATTGGATACTACGTAGCAGATTGCTCAGGGGATCGTTGAGCCCACCGCAGTGGAGGTTTTAACCTCGTGGAGAGTGGAACTCTCATCTCGACCCAACTCCAAATCGGCTTACTGGTCCCGGACCCAGAACCATTAGGGGAGGGGGGGGGAGGGACCAACTTGGATGGATATTTGGGCGTATGTGCGTGGATTGGGGAGCATCGGCCTCTGTCTGTATCAAGATTCCGTACATACCTACACATTCGTACATACATATCCCAACATGCATGTTCAGGCTGCCAACAACGCGATCCAAGCAGACAACAAACATGCCTCGATATATTACCTACCTAGGTAGAGGTATGCATATAGAGGTACCTAAGTATGCGCATAGGGGTTGGAGGTGGAGTCGTAGCGTCGCACTCGGGGCGAGAGAAGGGCTCTCTGTCTCACAAGGTCTCTCTCTGTTTCTCTCTATCCGGATGTATTACTGTATCGCGGCATTGCGGGCTTAACGTCGACGCGACATGCAAAGATGGCCCTACATGGGTACAGGGAACAGCACCAACACACCTAGATCCATGTACTTACTTGCAGGTGGGTGCATTCATATACATAGGGACTATATAGCCTCCAGGTTCGGCGTCAGGTACCTGATATGTATCACGTAACCCTCGGTACCCACCCCATCAGGTCCACAGGCGCATACCATTAGAGGTAGGTATTACCTCTCCTATGATATACTATAGATCAGTAGGTTACTTAACGAAGGATAGGTTCGATTCCTAACAGCGCTACTTGGTAGTCTTCGCTATGTTAGCTCATCTACTATAATGGTTGAGAGCCTGTAGGTGCCTTGGCTTACCTAGGTACCTCCACAATATAGAGGTAGAGGTTAGGCACCTGGGTATTAGAGAAAAGAAGAGGTGAAGGATCCTCATGCCGGTTCGGCTTCTCAAAAGCCACCATCCTCTCGACGCGCCCCAGAGCTTACTCGCCCCGGCTGGCAACGCCTCTCCAATCCTCAACAGTAATAATTCCTGGCGAGAGCCGGCTGGGAGAATCCAACTCCGGGACGCCCCTCCATTCCCTCGAAAGAGCTGCCGATCTGGGACGTCCTGCGGGACTGGATCGAATCCTTCCATGCGAGTATAGCTGCACATGTTCCTCAAACGCAACCGCAACCGCAACAATACGACATCCTCCCTCATACTTGGATCCTTCTCCACACACGATATCTCTCTGTCACTCTACTCTCCACTCTCTTCCCTCCCTGTTCTGGTCCTGTCTTTTCCTTCCTCGTTTTTCACGTTGCCCTAAGTCTCCCCCAAGCCTCTCGGTGGCTGCTAGTCCCACTAGTGCGAGGTCTATTTGCTGCGGACACACACACACTCATCGGAGACTCACGACGGCCTCGCGGTCAAGAGGGGGAACTGGAGGGTTGGGGGCTGAATAAATTGCCCCCCCTTTCGATGGCGGAGGAGGGGCCAGCCACTGATGGACCACCTCAACCGATCCTGGCCCTTCTTCTGTGGCCAGTGGGACCACATGGCAAACAACAAGGATCGGTCCACTCGGAGGTATCGCAGCGTCGACGACCATGCGCAAAATAGGGCCGGCGTAGATGCGCCTCACCGGGTCAGACGGTGTGCATATGGCACCTCTGCTCGCTCCCCTCCCCTCTCGTCCTGCCCATATCGTGCGCTACCTAGACTGCTTCCAGCTGGCCCCGCGAACTAACATCGGCGCTACCCAGGGGTCGGATGGAATCCGAAATGACCCTCCGGACGAGCTTGAGTACTTCTAGACATAGCGTCGCCGCGGCCGACCTCGTGCGGTCGTTGTTCCCGGTACGTGTTTTTCGTCTGATGTGATTCGGCTTGCTTGTTCGTACATGGACATACCTATCTACCGACTCCGTACCAGCCTGCTGTAGGACAGCAAGCCTAGTATGGGACGGTGGGTAGAACTTTGACGTCTCGCCTCAAGGCCCTCGTGACAATCACGGCACAGTCAGATTCCCACCAGCGACGGCTGCACCGTGTGAGCCATAATTCTGCCAGAGAGGTAGGTAGATATGTTGGCATATGGGGGGTTAGGTAGCGACATCTTACCCGGCTAAGGATGCGT